GATAAAAAGCAAAGTCTAGTTTAGTATTTCAAGACAAGGACATAGTTACAATTTCTTCTTCCTATATCTTATCAAATAACTTTTATTTTGGTATAAAATGTATTGGTAACTTTATTTGGGGGTTATCTTTGATTACCTAAGCAAAAATATTTTCACGACTGTGGTTTGTAATTGCTTGGGAAAGGCCATTGTGACTTTTCATATTTTCTGAATAACATGCAAAAGGTTCCTTATTTTGAGGGCATCATCAGATGGACTGTGATGAAGGGCATTGGAAATCTTGAATGGTGTTAACTGACTGATGTGTGCAATACCATCAAGATTCTTGATGATGGTTAAGGGTCAAATTTGGCAGGAAGTGGGGAAGGAAAGATGGTGGTATTCCTCTGAGCTTCACCCACAAAATAAGCTTTGCCCCATGCGAGTCACCAAAATAAGATGCTACTCACAAGATTCTGCAGACACTCAAAATATTGTAGTTTCCATGAGACTCCTTGAGTTTGCTCCTTGTTTATTGGGATTCAGTATGTCCATACATTCTGGTAGTCTCTTGGATACCACCTGATGAGAGGAAAAGAAGTCTCAAGCACCAGTGTTCCCTGCAAGCTGAGTGCTTGGGTGGCTGCCCAGGAGAAATACAAATACCACTCAGGTTGATTAACAGAGCACCAGCAGCATGCATTTCTACTGGTGGTGCACATCCACACAAGCTTTGATGCACATAACAAAATGTGTTCCACACATGGATGGAAAAAATAGAGAGAATACTGTCAAACCCCATCTATTTTTGGCTACTAAAGATGCAGATCTGTGACCCTCCCTTTCTTTAAATGATAATCAATGGGCATCTGAGTGAACACTTCACTGAGATTAATGTAAACCTTCACTGACATGAATGGAGCACCACACAGAGATATTTTTCCAGGTTCTCTACAAATTTACCTCTTCTTCATTTACTCTCAGTTCACATTGTTGAGGTTTTCTTTGGCAGCATAAAAGCGAGATAATTACCTTTTTAAAAAACTGAAATAGTGAGAGCAAATAAGTGGCTACAAAGAAGTCCTTGCACTACATATAGTCTCATACCAGCTATTCCTGAGACCTGGAAAAGTGACTTGAAAAGGGGAAAATTCAGACCTTTGAAAAAATATATCACAGAGAAGCAAAAATGGTGTCAGACCGTCATTATACCTTGTGGCCCACCTTTTAGAGAGTATTCCCATTAGTGGTCCTTTGAAAGTTTGGATGCCTCTAAAACAGCTTGGAACTTAGAAAGTGTTCAACCCACCTGGTTCTCCTAAGGGTCACAGCTACAAAAGAGGAGGAAAAAAAAGGAATGCACAAACAGTGGGAAATAAATGGCCTGGGCACATGGCAACTATGCAGCCAAACCACTCTATCCAAAGTTGCAGGAGGAAAAAAGTATCAGGATAATGTTGGTCCTATTGAAGTCAATTAAGTTTTACCACTGAGTTCAGAATATTAAAGTTGTAATCAGTGTTGATCCTTATTCAAATTCATACAGTTATATTGATTTTCAACATTTGCATTTGGTTTCCCCTGGGGAAATCTAATGGTCATGTATGGTGGCCTATTAAAATAAAGGGTAATCCTTGTATTATTTCTCTTTTTTAAGCTGCGAGACAGGGTGGGTGGTCTTTAAAGGCAAAAAGCACAGCGTGCGGTTCAACCTGTCTGCACACCGAAACACTCTGATCTGGCAACATCCAGACCACGGATGTTCCAGGACCAGAGTGTCCTGGTAGAGGGCTGGCAGCTGGGCTCCACATAGCTGGGCTCCCTGGCTCACAGCCGGGAGCCCAGCGCACTGCAGTCGGATTGCCCAGCAGGACCAGGGGAGCCTGGTGTGCAGCAGTGGGGCTGCCCAGTAGGGTAGGAGACCAGAACACTGGGATCTGGGCTCGAGTTGGGCTGCCCCAGCTTAGCTGGAAAGGGGGGGGGAGCGAGCCGGAATGCTGGTCCAGGGGTGGGGGAGTTGGTAGCGGGGAAGCCAGATAGACCTCCCCTGTTCTGACAAAATCCCTCATCTGGGACCGAGGGTGCTAGATCAGGGAGGTCCAACCTGTAGAAAATGGACAAATCTGCTGCAGGATATAAATATAGGAGCTCCCATTGGCTTCAATGGAAGTTTTATCCTGTGGCAGGAAAATAGAACCCCAAGAACCTATTTTTGTCACTGCCACATAGCTTCTTGAGATAAAACTTTTCTGTGTCTCAGTTATCCCATCTATAAAAGGAGCTTGATGATCCCTACCCTAGAGGCATCTTTTGAGACTCTATTCTTTTAGGGTGTATTTAAACTCGAAAGAAGATACGCAATTTGCTCTATGCAAATTGCATATCTTAACTTGATTGAATTTAGAAATAGAGTATTTTGAAATTTGGCATGTCTACACAGCACCACATTTTGAAATAATGCACTACCTGCTGCAAGGGGAGAGAACCTCCAGCCTTGTGAACAGGGTTCAGCTCATGGGGGGAAGAAACGGCTCCATGCACTGCAACTCTCCCTCCCCCCGGCTGAAGGTTTTCCCCACTGCTCCCATTGGTTGGAACCATGGCCAATGGGAGCAGTGGGGAATGGTGCCTGGGAGTAATGGGGTGTGTGAAGCCAGGTAAGTGCCCCCATTCCCCTCATGCTCAGACTCCCCACCCTACCTCACACACACACCCTACCACTGAGACCCCCATACCCACACCCTGCTTCTGCCCTCTCCCTCTTGCCCAGATCTTGCACCTCCACCTCCTGCCCCAGACAACTGGCCCTTAGCCCACATCTGCACCCAACCTCCTGGCCAGACTACCCACTCTCAGCCCACTCCTGCACCCAACCTCCTGGCCAGTCCTCCCACCCAGTACCCCCATCCTCATCCCCTTATGCATCTCACCTCCCGCCCAAACCCTGCACCCCCATCCCTATTCCATTCCCCAGCAGTCCCCTCCTGCAAAATGATCCCCTCATTTGTGGCTTCACCCCAGAGCTTAGGGGGGGCCTGCAAAATCTACTAGCCCTGATACCCCAAAAGAGTTAATCTGGCTCCTGAACCTCTGCCCTTCCTCTCCCCTTTCTCCCCCCTCCCCCCATGGTGCAAGGGGAGTGAGGTATCTCAGTTGGGGACCATATCAGTGAAAGTTGAGGGGAGGTTGTTGGGTTAGTTTGTGTGTTTGTTTGGGGTGGCAGTTCTTCTAACATTTATAGGGCCCATGACTGGTTTTTCTGTGGGTCAGTGACCGTCATCCAAAAAAGGCTCCCCGCCCTGCGATAAGCAAAGTCCATGTTGAAATATTTTGTTTTGGACATAAATTAACATTTTACTGTATTTCAAATGAAGTTTGGTAAATGAACATGATAATGTTAAAGCGCTTAATCTGTTTAATGATTTTGATTGATAATATTTCCTTTCTTACCAGTTATATATGCCCTCTTACGTTATAGCAGCATATTTCCGTTTTTATGCTCCAGCAGCCTAATACGAATAATTTATTATTTAAGGTATGTAGAGATAGGTGAAGGCATTTTGTCATCATGGATGGTTGGCTGGGGGTCCATAGAAAGGTTTGTCTTGAGCAAGTTTAAGAACCACTGGTTTAGAGAGAGACAGAGTGTATATGTGCTGTAATGCTGGCAGCTGGACACACATCTTCCACTTTTGTTGTATAACTTAAGTTTTGTACTTTAAATGTGTGTTTATAGAGGAACATCTGTACTGCTTAGCCCTTAGACTCATGACTAAAGCATATTTAAGATATACAGGTATCAAAACAGGTTGTTAAATGCTGCTAATATTTTGCACTGAAGTAGCAATGTTACTTTGAGGCACTCTGAACACTTCAATAAATATTAAATTTCACAATTTTTCTACAAAGAATTTTGTTTGTTTCTTTAAACACATAAAGCTATCCAGTTCTGCAGCACACATCAAGCCTTAGATGCTTTGAGGGTAGAATGTTTTCAGTCCGAGACTGAGCTAAAATGCTTAAAACAGTGAAGGATTCAAAAATAGGGAAACCAGCCAGCAGGCTTTGAAGTTGGTCTTCAGATACAGAAGAGATTATTCTGTGGAGCTCGTTCTTTAATCATATCAAAAGAAAAGTAATTATATAGGTGTTTTCTTTTGCAGAATTATGATAAAAGTAATTAAATAGGGTTGGTTTGTTTGGGTTTTTTTTTGCAAAATGTTTCCCAAGTTAAATCTCCCCTTACGTGGTTTTAAGGAGGTTATCATGCAAATCCTACAGAATAAGATTCCTGGACTTAATACTTACATACTTGTAGTAGAGATATTTGTTCATCCTCCTTAGAATTTGAGCTTCTGCCATAAGCATGATTTTACTCTCTTATCATTGTTCATAAGTAAGAGTGCCAGAATTACCAGAGAGCAGCCTGGTATTAGCTCTGCTTCCTGCTATCTGTTCCAGCTTAACTTGAAACTCTGGTGAGCCAGTTCCTCTGAGACCTTTGGATAATTGAGGTTGTACTCTATACCTCTTTTTTACAAATTTTAAATTTTTTTCAACTGAATGGATATTTTCTTTTGAATTCTTTTGAATCTTTCTTTAAATTTTACTCAGGCTCTGGATTAATATGTTTTTAAATAAGATATGACACAGCAGAGCAACAAACTCTAGCAACAAATACAATAGTAAAAATTAGGGTTTGAAGCGTCAGAGATGAGTCACTCTATACTTTGACACTGAAAACATTACCATTTTTCCCTGTTAAAGCACAAGGAATTTGCCCATAGTAACACCAGAAGTCCATAGTGGAACCAGGAATAAAACTTAGAAGTTCTGCCTCCCAACCCTGTATTGTAACCATTTGATCACATTCAGAAAAATACTTGGAAAAATGTGTTTTAAGGTAGACAGTTCCATAAATAGCGTTAGAGTTAATGTTTATCTTGTTCTGCTGTTGTAGTACAACAGGGTTTGGATCCCTGACAGAGAAGAAGTTTGGCAGTCTGCTGAAATCACAAAGAACTACACAACAGGGGACCGCGTGCTTCACTTACTCTTAGAAGACGGAACCGTAAGAAAAAAAATAACCTAGTTATTTCAATATTTAATGAAATGATGCAGGATCAGATTATTGCTCTGGGTAGTCCTGTATGCTGTTTTTACTGTGGCTAGTACCATATTCTTGGCTTTCTTGCAATCTTGGGATTTTTAGCAATGTAAAACTGTAAAAATGTATAGAGCTTAAGTCTATTATTCAGTGCTTGTCAGTGTACGCCCCAGTGCTCTGACAAGGAAAAATGGAGCTGTGCCAATTATGATGTTAGCTGAGGAGTTTGTCTGTAATTTTTTTGTAAACTCGTTGCGTTAGTACATGATTTGTAATAAATATTCAGTAGAACCACACTGTTGCGAACCTCTAATGTGCAACACTACTTTTTTCCAAAGTGCATCGTGAACACTTCCCCAGATTGAGAAATATATTGTATGTTCTTCTGATTTTATGAGTCCAGCTGTCTGAGGTACAAGTGGAACAGAACCTGAGACTTCTCAAACTTAGTGCATGAGCCTCTGCAGCATAAGCTAAGAGTCAGCTGGCTCTCATCTAAGGCTGTACTACACACTCATTCTTTCTCTCTGTAAGTGGTCTAAGTGCCGCTACATGGGACAGTGAACTACACCCAGTAGGTGTGTGGTTACATAAGGACATAGATGGAAGTGAAGCACTCATCATCTTGGTATCTGTGCAGTTTATAAATTTGCTTATGTGAACACTAGGGCACCTGCACCCCCTGCGTACTACGCTTGCCAACCCCCCTCTCGCTGGCTGCTTTCGTGGCCTATTAATCTTGTGCTGAGCCCAGCTGCACTCTCCATGGCCCCAAGTCACTTGCACCCTTCTTTACTCCCACTTACTACACCCCTGGATGGGCCTCTCTTGCCCGCTCATGCCCTTCAATCGCCAGCCAGCCCCCCTGCCCACACTCTTCTTGCTCCTGCCCCATCCGCCAATAAAATAGTCCATGGCCCACAGCCCATTCCCATCCTTCCATCCCTAGCCCCATATCTGTCCTCCATTCTACCTAACCCTCCCTTATCCACTCTGCCCATCCCCCTCCTGCCATTCCTACCCCCACTCCATTCCTACACCCACCCATCCTCTCTAACCCCTCCCCTTCCCCATCCCGCACTGCCTATTCCTACCTCCACCTTTCCTACCCACCTGTCCTCCTTACTCCCATCTCATTCTTCCATATTCCAACACCCCCATCCTTCCATAACACTGCCCATCTCCCCATCACACTGCCCATCTCCCCTCCTCCATTCCTATATCCACCTCACTCCCACCATCTCCCCTTAACATGCCACCCATTCCCACATACACTTCTATCCCTTTTCCTCCCTCTCTACACACACCCTACCCCATCCCATGAACAGGTGGCATAACCAGTAAAGAAATTGCACCAGGCCCATTTGCAGGAATTTCGGGGGTGGGGACTGCTCCGGGTACTGTGACAACAGGATCGGGGCAACTGCCTGGAGAGAAGAGGAAGCAAAGGTGTCATTGCTGGGGTGCTGTGAAGAAAAAAAGGGGGATGTCTGTGGGCAGAGGAAATGTAAAGCAGGCAGAGAAAGAGCCTGGAGGGAGGGGCAGAGAGCGAGGGTTCCTTTGGGATGCCAGGTTGAGAAGGGGGGATGGGAGTCTGTGAGGGAGCAGGAGAGGGGCTGAGGACACACATGGAGGATGGAAAGAGGGCTGGGGGGCCATGTGGTGAGGGGGGGGTCTCTGGGCATCACCATGCAGAGACAGGCACCCCTCCTCCCCGCTACCCTACCCCCCACTCAGCCAGGTTGGCAGCTGCGGTGAACACTCTTGGGCCTCCTGTTTGTGATGCCTCAGGGTTGCCACAATGGCATCATCTCCCCAGTCCTTTGGGATTGGGCGTAGCAGTGTTAGCTAGGGTCTATGGACATAATTTGGGGCAGCAAAGGATTGCCTCTTGCTCAAACAGAGTCTTTGGGCCAGGAGTGGGGGAGCTGCTTCTCTTGCTGATGGTGTCTCTTAAGGGAAATGCTGCCTCCTGGGTCCTAATGCTGGTTGTCTTCCTCTTCTGCATGTGCTGGGTGCACTAGTGGCCAGCATCCTGTTTCTGTACAAGTGTGATTGCCCATAGAGGGCAGGGGTCAGGGCTGGCCTTACAATGAGGCGAACTGAGATAGCCGTCTCAGGTGCCAGACTGTGTGTGGGGGGAGCAGGGGGGTGCCACTAGGACCCAGAGAATTGAGAACTTTCAAAGTTTTGGCCCAAGCGAGGAGGATGAGGGGAGTCATTTGAGCTCTGCCTCAGGTGCCAAAATGTTGTGGGCCAGCCCTGGAGCAGGGAGCTGCTCGGGATGGCTCAGCGCACACCCAAGCGCCTTCCCTCAGCCACCAGGCCCCACACTGCTTCCCCTGTGGGCCTGCTACCACACGGCTCCTCAGGCCCTCTGGCTGCTGGGAAGGCCCCCAACATCCCCAGATCTAGCTGCAGCAGAGCCTCTACCTGGGCTCTCCCCTGCAAACAATGGTGGTGATACTGCCGCAGCTACATTCCCTGCGGCAAGCTGATCCAGAGCATTGTGGCAGGCTGATCCGGACTGGTGCCCAGGCCCTGGCTGCTATTTGGGGACAGACAAAGCCACCCTGCAGCCCGGCCTGGACAGATTCTGCCTCCCAAGGGGCCTGCCCATTCAGCTCTGGCTGCAGCATTTTAGGAGGTGGAATCTTCCCAGGTCAGGCTGCCAGGCAGCTTTGCCGGTCCCTGAACAGTGTCTGGGGCAGGGAGGCCGTGCGAGGGCGGAGCCTGTGGGATGCAGAGTGACGTGCTATTGTCCCACAAGATTTTTTTTATATATATAGAGAGAGAGACAAGGAGATTACTATGTTTTTCTTTCCTTTCCCCATTTTGTAAGGACTGCTTTTTAAAAAAAGTGATACAGGCAATGTTATTGCAGGAAACATAGGTCCGAAAAATTGGGGGATGAGTTATGTTCTTTCAAAGGGAAAGTGGTCCAGAGTCATTCTAGGTGTCTGGTAAGTGAATTCTGGTTGCTTCCCTTGCACACGTGCCTTACTCTTCAGGGTGACAGTTCCATTGTTCCAACAGAATGAAGCTGTAATGCCAGGGCATGATCATAGAGAGCCCAGAGCTTAGCTTTGAAGATTAGGGTCCAGATTTTTTGCTCCAGCCAAGCTATGTTGTCACAGGACTTGATGAGGAAAGAAATGGCGACTTTATCTCATCTCTATGGTCCCTTTCTAGTCAAAGGCTTGTGATAAGTTAGAAAGATCTTTAGGGAGTAACTTAAGACAAGCTCCCTTTAGCCCCAACAGGCCATTCCGACAGCTGGGCAAAAGGACAGTCCAGCTACACTCACGATCCCTAAGTTACATTTGAACTACTGCAGAGTTCTTCTGATTACTTTAAATCTCTTGAGCTCTCTATTGATAGAAGTGGTATCATGTAAAAACACTTAGTATGTTTCAGTACAACATATTTCCCCTTTATTCGGCTCTGGTGAGGCCACATCTGGAGTATTGTGTCCAGTTCTGTGCCCCCCACTATAGAAAGGATATGGATGCATTGGAGAGGGTCCAGCAGAGGGCAACCAAAATGATTAGAGGGCTGGGGCACATGACCTATGAGGAGAGGCTGAGCGATTTGGGCTTATTTAGTCTGCAGAAGAGAAGAGCGAGGGGGGATTTGATAGCAGCCTTCAACTTCCTAAGGGAAGTTCCAAAGAGGATGAAGAGAGGCTGTTCTCAGTAGTGACGGATGGCAGAACAAGAAGCAATTGTCTCAAGTTACAGTGCGGGAGGTTTAGGTTGAATATTAGAAAAAACTGTTTCACTAGGAGGGTGGTGAAGCACTGGAATGGGTTACCTAAGGAGGTGGTGGAATCTCCATCCCTAGAGGTTTTTAAGTCTCAGCTTGACAAAGCCCTGGCTGGGTTGATTTAGTTGGGATTGGTCCTGCTTTGGGCAGAGGGCTGGACTTGATGACTCCTGAAGTCTCTTCCAGCCCTAAGATTCTACGATTCTATGATGACAGAGAAAGGATGTAAGCCTTTATTTTTTATGAAACATTGAGGGATCATGCAATCCTTGTGCAGTAAAATGACCATGGATTTGATTGGAAATTAACTGGTGTGCATGGAATGCAAGATCAGGTACTGATCCATCATCCATGCAACAGTTCAGACAAAAGTAGTCAAAAAGTTCAATATGTATTTACACCTGCGTGCCATGTAACTTTTATTGACAGGAATTGAATTACCCTGTAGATCCAGGACCTTTGCCACCTCTGCGAAATCCTGACATACTTGTTGGTGAAAATGACCTCACAGCACTTAGTTATCTCCATGAACCTGCTGTTCTACACAATCTTAAAGTTCGTTTTGTGGAGTCGAAACTTATCTACACTTATAGTGGTACGTAAAGACAAACCTGGAGTCTGGGGTAAATTATTAAACTAAAATTTTTAAATCTTTGCCACTGAAAATACAATGGGATCTGAATGATGTTTTTGTGATGTTTTACTTGATGCCAAGAAAATGAATGAATGAATGAATGAATGAATGAATGAATGGCAATTAGTTCAGATGCAAATATTGTTACTACACAGAAATTTAGCTGTGATTGCTGGTTTTCAGTATCTTACCTTTTATTTAGTAGAAAATGGGATGATGCATCTGATTTTGTACTATGATTTTTTCATAGGAATAATTTTGGTAGCAATGAACCCCTATAAACAGTTGCCAATATACGGGGATGCCATTATACATGCATATAGTGGGCAGAATATGGGGGATATGGATCCACATATATTTGCTGTGGCAGAAGAGGCTTACAAGCAAATGGCAAGGTACTGTTTATTTTCATTTGTTTAACATTTGTTCTAAAATATCATTTAAAAATCTCATGGCAAATAATGTAACAAAATAATAGTAATTGAACGTTGTGTTGGAAATGGCCAAGCAGCTAAGATTCCGTTTGTCTGGATATTATCATCCAGACTGCCCTGGAAGAGAAGAGAACCTTGTAACCTCTGAGGAGAGGTGCTGAGGGATAAAGAATTTCTGGAACTTACACCACTTTCTTAATACCAAGCAGCTGGCCCCAGGGCCACTGAGAAGCTAAAACATCAAGGAGAAGAGAGCTGACAGTGGTTTTGGGCACAACATTTACTCCATGCAAAATATAAAAATATATGCGCATTTTCAAACTCACAAGATATTTAAAATCTCCTTATGCTTCTGTTTTAGAAACAACAAGAATCAGTCTGTTATAGTCAGTGGAGAATCAGGAGCTGGAAAAACTGTGTCTGCTAGGTATGCTATGAGATACTTTGCCACAGTCAGTAAGTCCAACAGCAATGCACACGTGGAGGATAAAGTACTCGCCTCCAACCCAATAACAGAGGTAAATTTAAGGATGTATAAATAAAGGGGTTTTATACTCATTAGAGGCTGAGCTCTTGTGATAGAAGTCAATGAGCATTTCAGGGATTCAGTCAATCTTAGTAAACTGTATGCATATTAAGAGCCTAGTTCTGTGACATCCTCTGCTATATCAAAAATATTCAGCACATCTGTACACTTTATTCTATATCACAAATGTTTGTTTCTGCGGTATATGAAATAATGAGTATAATGTATACAACTGTACCAAGTAGGCTATACTTGTTTTGTTGCAGTTTTGTGCTGTCACTTTTCATGCCACCATATTTTCCTTTAATCACCTTTTTAAAACCAAATTCCTTCTTTTATGATGGCAACAATCTATATTAACTCAGCAACAATACTATCTAATGTGGGCATTAATGGCTAATCATAGGTGGTCTGGAACTCAGCCTAGGTAATGGTAGATGGAAATCCATATTAAGGCATCTAATGCACAGGTCTGATCTTTCAAAAGTTCTGAGCACCGTTTGTCTCTTTTTAATTTCTGAGCGAGATTAGAGTCTGAACACCTCTGAAACTCAGGCCACTTATTTAGAGTCTATATTTTGGAACTCAAACTTGAAAATGTTTGCTTTTATCTTTTTATGTAAATTTTAAACATAAATATTCAAATTGAGATATTCACACAAGCAGACAGAGTTCATGACAAAGAACTTATGAGGGATTGTTTTATTATTTGTCTGCAAAATAAGGAAAGATTCTGGGATAGGTGGTTATAGCAGAAGAGAAGTGGGAGGTTTTGTAGTTGTTTGTAGAAAAAAGTTGAGAACTCCTTCACCAGGGAAACTTATTTATTTTAGTACTTAGTTTGTATAGAATTGCATCTGAGTCTAATTTTTAGTCCTGGGCCTCATAATAGAACATCCAAGCCCCACCTCTGGATTCTCAGATTGATCTTTAGTCACATAAAACTTTGGGCATTTATGCATCTAAGTCATATTTTGAGAGAGTTACTCTTTAAATGTCTCAGAGGGCTAACCATGTTAGTCTGTATCTGCAAAAAAACCCAAGAAGTTTTGTGGTACCTCAGGGCTTGTCTACACTAGGGGGTTATTTCAAAACAACTCCCTTGTTTCGAAATAACAAGGTGAGCATCCACACTATTAAGCCTGTTGTTTCGAAATAAAGGTCTTGTTATTTTGAAATAATAACTCTTGCTTCTGAAGAGGAATAGCACTATTTTGAAATTATTATTTTGGGAGTTATTATTTCAGAATAACTTATTTTAAAATAACTCCCTAGTGTAGAAATGCCCTTAGAGATTTATTAGGGCACAAGTCAGATGAATTGGAGTAGAAGTTACAGAGGCTGGGGTGTATATATAAGAACAACAAAATAAAGAAGTTACTTGTGTTAACGAGGCCAACCAAGTCAGGGTGGAAGTGGCTCATTCACAGCATTTCATGTTAAGATGTGTATATCAAGAAAGGGGAAATTGCCTTTGTAGTATACTGGGCAGCCTGAATGATTCTATTGACACAAACTGTGTGTAAAAGAGATTCACCATGTTCATAGGCTGTAGGCAATGCGAAAACCACACGCAACGATAATAGCAGTCGGTTTGGGAAGTACACTGAAATTAGTTTTGATCAGAGACATCAAATCATTGGAGCCAACATGAGGACATACCTGCTTGAGAAATCCAGAGTTGTCTTTCAAGTAAGTGAAATAAAGTTTAAAAAGCCAACTTGAGTGAAATCACTTTTGTACAACTCTTTTAACTTTGTTAATATTATACTAAGTGGGCTAGGTGAAGTTTTGCATCATATCAGTGTTCATAATCTCAAATTGATCTTAGTGTATATCTTCCTTTGGAACAGGAGACAAATCTTATTTAGGGGTGTATATTCTACCTCTCTTACATCATATGGAGGAAATCAGAAAGGCTCTGATCTCACAGGGGGCAAATATAGTGAGATATATTTCCACCAACATCACCACATTGTTGTTTTACTCCTCTCCAATCCACAAAAATTGAAGTGTCTTCCATGTGGCCAAGATGGGGCAGGGCCAAGGTGAGAGGAGGAAGAGGATTTCGGGGATCAGCTGCTCTGTACAGTACACTGGGCTCGCAATGGAGCTTATTTTAGAGTAATTTCTAATCGGCTGTATATTTGAAAGAAGTTTCTGAGTGACGGATTTAGTTTTCAGCTTCCTTTTATCATAACTAAAAGCAAGGTAAGGGTTTGGTTGTGTGGGAACAGGGGCAACTTAAGCTCCCCACATTTTGTATAGGGACGCATAAAAAGAACTCCTAAATGGTCAGAGCTAGAATCACCAAATTTTGTAGATAGATTCCTCTTATCATAACTTAAAGCAAGGAAAAAGTTTGGTTGTGCATGGATTCTCTGCTCCCTCCTGGTCCCTCCCGCCCCGTACTGGGATGCATAAAACCATACGGAAAAAAGACTGACTCACCAGGCAGGTGAAAGGGGCTGGCCAGGGGCAGCTCTGTCCCCATCTGGAACTGCCCCAGCATCAAGCCTTCCACGTCCCCATGCACCCTTTCAGGAGGCCAGGAAAGGCTGCAGTTCCCCCTCCCATTCGTATGGGAACATGGATGGACATTCCCGTTTGTCAAGGAGTGAAGAGAAAGTGCACAGTTTGTCACATTCCTCAATCTGACTGGGCAGCGCAGTGGGCAGACAAACCTGGACCTACCTCAGCGGGGCACATGCAATCCTCCCCTGGCTGTGCCCACGGGAGCTGCAGTGACTATGGACAGAAGCTTTTCACCTGGCCCCAACCTGCTGTGGGGAGAGAGGGATGGGGTTGTCCTCTCTACCCAAGGAACTCTGCATACTGACCTCCTCATCCCCATCCCCATCCCCTTCCCAGAGCAATGATTAAATGAAGAAAAACAAAAATTGAGTCAAGGACCTGAGCAACACATGGTAAATCTTCTAGTAGTGGCATAAAAATGAGAACTTATGAGATGAATTGAATAGACTTTGAAATTCTGTATTTCAGATTGTGGTGTAGAGTGGGCTCTTAGAAAGAAGAAATGAATGTGCATGGCCTGTGTTTTATTTGCATTATTTTCCTTCAAGTTTACTTAACTGAAATTAATATTATTCTTTGTGCGCAACTAGATTAGATGGTAAAACAAACGGCAATGTAACATTTTCCCTTAGCAAAACCTGTTTTGCTTCATCCTCAAATTTCAAGTTGTCACACTGGAGGCGTGGCTAAATTAAGTCACTTAGTTGGGCAGGTTTAAGTTGAAGATGAATAATTACTTTGAAACCTCTCAGATGCTGTTGTGATGGGCTATCTAACTACTTAGATAAACTGCTCTCTAAACTGAATAATTTGTGTGATGGACATACTTCGGCACTGCCCAAGCAATAAAAAAAAGTGTTAGAAAAATCCTCTTCAAAGCGAGATTGTGGCAACTTGGTTAGAAAATTTTTGAGGAGGGGAGCTGGGTATTAGAAATGTCATTTCAAGATACCTCTGGCAAGTTTGCACAATTTCTAATTTGAAGCCTCTTGCAACTTTGGGAAGGCATAGTGATTTTTTGGGGGTGGCATAATCAACTGAAATTCTTCTCTTATAATAAAAGTTAAATAAATGATCTAAGATCTCATTAATGTTAGATATCTTAAATGATCAGATGGACTTTTTTATTTGCCTTGATAAAATCTGTGTCAACAGAAGCATATTGGAAACAAACTTCTTTTCAGTAGAACATAATAGGTGAAATACTTTCAAGGTTAAATTGACAACACACTTGTGTTTAACACTAAATTTTGATGTGCAAAAATTGTAGCACTATGTCTCTCTCTATTTTTTCAGGCTCCAATTTTGCAAATGTTTATGAATAGGCTTAATTTTACTCTCATATATGTAAAGTTAAACATGTTTATATGTTTGCAAGATCAGGGCCTAATTATGTGCTAGTCATAATGACATAACAGTGATAAAATAGCATGGAAAATATCTAATGCTTTTTCACAAAACCACACAAAACAAAACTTTGTACTGCATGCTTGTAATAGTGTTATAACTCCTCAGGTAATGAGCTACCTCTGTACGTCCGTTACCTAACAGATGATTATAAAAAATTGCCCTGAGAGCTTTTCAGTTTCTGTAAACAGTGTTACATTTGCCAGCCCTTGTTATTTTTTTTAACTGAATCAATTATTATTTTGGCAAAGATCTCTGCACAGTGACATATAGTTTGGAGAAGAAGTGCACTTAATTTTGTCACACATTGCTACTGAATGCTAAAAACATGTCCACTTTAGTACAGGCTATGGATAATCATTCACTTTCCTACAATTATAGACAAATATCAGATGTTTTTCATGTTTATTTTTCTTTCTGTAATAGCTTTCTTTTCTTTCACTTGTAGTCAGACAATGAACGAAATTACCACATATTCTACCAGCTGTGTGCTTCTGCTCTGCAACCAGAATTTAAGCATCTTAAATTGGGTACGTCTCAAGAAAGTAATCTATTCTTCACCTTTCCACTGTTTTATTCAGGAGCCCTAATTGTCTTAGAGTACAAATCTTATTGATGCTCAGTGGGACCTTTTGGCCAGACCTGCAGCACGGCCATGGGTGGCCTCTGTTAGCTGACTTGAACTCATAGGCGTCATCCTCCAGAGCTATAAAATTGCAGTGTAGGCATTCGGGCTCAGACTGGAGCCTGGGCACTGGGCCTCCACAAGAAGAGATGCTCTCAGAACCCTGCAAACTTGATTCGGTGCTGTGCGTTTTACATCGCAGGGTAGACAGGCCCTAAATTGCCTACAGTTCGATCCTATTCTTACTGAAGTCAGTAGCAAAGCTTCTGTTAACTTTAGAGATGCAAGATCAGGTCCTTAGGTGTCTTTGAAAATTCACTCTTCTAACCCTTTATTTAGAGAATGTGCTTATGAAGGATGCCATATAAACAGTCCTGGGGAGTGAAGGCTTTCTTTGTTTGTCCACAGAACAACTACATAGGAAAAGCTCCATGTGAATCTCAGCTGCAATCTGGAGCATCAGCCTTGAGCATAAAATGGTAGATCGTCTCCCTAGCAATCAGTACTTAGTCCCTTTGTTAAGATTTCCAAAAGGGATGCCCGTTAATGTCACTTGTACTAGTTTTGTCATGTGAATTCCTGTTCACTTCACAAGTGCACTAGGACCACAAGCTAATTTTTAGAAGAACTATCAGACTGTAACAGCTTTCATTCCATTTTCATTTATAGCTACTGACCTATTGGTGAAAGGCTCTCTAGCCCACTACCAAATATGTTAATTGTTCCCTTTTACTTTTCATCTGCAGGGCCTGCAGAAGATTTTAATTATACAAGAATGGGTGGCAGCACAGTTATTGAAGGAGTTGATGACAGAGCAGATATGATAGAGACTCAGAAGACATTCACTCTACTAGGTAAATGAGACTATTTAACATAATTGGACACATTAGCAAAGTGAACTTGGCTCTGAAATGACCAAAGACAAACACGTTTTGAAAAAATTAGAGAGTATGTTGTGATAGTTACCTGCGGAATTTGTTTGTGGCACTGTTGATTTGCTATTTGCTTTAATGGGACTTGGCAACATCAGTTGTCTATTAGCAATTGGTCTTCTTTGTTAGTGACATCAATTACTTGAGGCTAGAATCTGACGAGGCCTCAGGCTGGCATGCTGTGGAAGAAAGGGAGGAAGGAGTCTTCCTACGCCCAGTGTGACGTATTGAAGGACAGAGCAAAACTACCCCTGTATCACTCAGAAGAATACAGGGATTTGTCCCTCATTACTTCCTCGGGGATGGGGAGGGCAGATAGTAGCAGACCTATAGCTCTGTATGGTAGCTAGCACCATCTTCACCAAGTCCTTGTAGAATCACAAATGATTATAGAAAGTATGGCAAGTATTCCTAGATCATACTTTTTATTAATGGATTTTTTTATTGTTTTGAGTATTTCAAATGAATAGGGATTTATTTTTAAGGTCTGATGGAGGATTTTCAGATGGATGTTTTTAAAATACTGGCGGCCATCCTACACTTGGGCAATGTGCAAATAACAGCTGTTGGTGATGAAAAATCTTCAGTCAGTGTAAGACGTTTGCTCATTCATATAGTTTAATAATTGTATGTAGTTTTCTTTATTTGGTGAGTAATCCTCAGTCTTTTAATACCTTCTCCAGCTACCTGTCACTTCCTTACTCAGTCTCTATGTTACAGGCTGTCTTGTGGCATCCTGCCTTGGGAATGTTCTTTGCCAAAGCTTTTTGTAAAAATATTTGGTCACAATTTTGGGGTTCAGAGCAGCCTAAACCTGGTAAACTAAGGTCAGGTCTACACTGTGGAGAAAATTGATGCAAGATACTCAACTCCAGCTACATGAATTGCATAGCTGGAGTTGACATACCTTGCACCGATTTTCTGGAGTGGCTCCACAGTGGGAGGTCGATGGGAGAAATGCTTTCAGCATTCAATTTAGTAGGTCTTTACTAGACCCACTAAATCAAACCCTGGAGGATCAATGGCCAGAGTCTCGATCCCCTACCACATGAAGACATAGCCTAAGGCCACTTTGGGATCCTGCCTGTCTGCCTAGTGGAATTCTCAGCTGATGTGAAAATGTGATGGTGGTGTTTATGCCACTCCCCTTCCTTACCCATAGCATAAAAGGCTGAATAAAGGACAAGTGTATGGCTGAGATGTGTCTGCAACTAGCTGATCTCCAGCTGCTGGATGGCCCCTTGGGGCTGTTTGCAGCCTCTGCCAAACAGGTCAGCCACAAGGCCATTCAGATTTGTGCCAAGGGACTACATTTGCACTTGGATCAAGGCAACCATAAGACAAGATAAATCCACCTTTGCTATTGCCAGCCCATATCAGGTGCAGTGTAATTGCACTGAATAAATGGCCCCATTCAGCAGTGCTTACCCTAGAATAATTTTTATTGACATCAACAGGAGTTTTGCCTGTGTTATTAAAAACCAGTTAAACCAAGCCAACAATTCATAGGTTGAAATCCCAACCCCTTTGAAGTCGGTGGCAAGGGTTCACACCGAGTTCAATAGAGCCACGTTTTCACCCATATATTTTAAGCAGTAATAATTAAGGTTATAATTATGTCATGGATTCAGTGACTTTCCAGGATTTCCAAGACTTCTTCTAGGGCAGGGCTGGAAAATCTGTTAACCCCAGGTGTGCAGGAGCAGTGGCTGCCCAAACAGCTGACTAGCTGCCAAAACAACTGATTGGTGTCCAGACCCAGGACAGCCAGAGCAGTGGTCCTTGGCTTGCCGGAGCAGGGGCTGGAGCAGAAGTAGTCAGACCCTGCTGCCGAGTAGTGATGGAGCTAAAAGTGGTTAAAGGCTTTTGTTAATATTTGTTTATTGCCCATGACTTTTACTAAAAATGCCCGTGACAGAATCTTAGCCTTAGTAATAATCCATTAATTAAAATTCTTCATAAGATCTAGTAATGTTTATTTTTCTTCTTTAAAGCTGGAGGATAAACATCTCAATATATTCTGTGAACTTCTGGATTTAGACAGTGACAGAGTGGCACAATGGTTGTGCCACCGAAAAATTATCACTGCCTCAGAGACTGTAATAAAGCCAATGACAAAACTTCAATCTCTTAATGCAAGGGATGCCTTGTCAAAGAAGATCTATTCTCACCTGTTTGACTTCATTGTGGAAAGAATTAACAATGCTTTGCATTTTTCTGGAAAGCAGCACACTTTTATTGGTGTTTTGGACATTTATGGGTAAGAATATCTCTGTTGAAAAAAGATATTTTCAGATGCTACTACTCTCCTCTGTTTTCCAGTTCCTATTCCTACATGTGATGCATTTCCTACAGTTAATTGACATTCAAGGCCTCCATTTAATCAATAGGATGCAGTCTTCTGTGCCATAAAATCTTTTCGTGAAGGACAATGGAACTGCTCTTTTTGATTAATATCAGTATCTCTTGAGGTGACAGTTGACCTTGAATTTATTTTATCTTAGGACTTATTTTATCTTTGATATTCACCTTATCAGAAGTAAATTTGGGGAGATAAATTTAAAGACGCTTTGTCCGTTTGACGTGGAATGATGCTCCTTTGATGGCTGGGTGCATTTGCTTTAGGGTTACTTTGTTCTACCTTTGTAGCACAAGAATAGCCCCACTGCCCACCAAGGTTTCAGTCATTATGTCTCAGATCTTGTCTACACGTGCCGCGGAGTGCAGAGAACGTGGAGCTACATATTGCAGTGAAAGGCAGGCAGTGTCCACTCTCATGGAAATGTGTAGTTATATGAGCCAGTGAAAGCTTCTAGGAGTGGGAGGCAGCAGGGCAAAGCTCTAGCAAAGGGAAGCAACAAAGAGAGGATCTGGCAGTGAGAAGTTTTTCTCTGTTGCTGTCGTTTTTTTGCTGTGGAACGGATAGGCTCCAGCAGCAAGACACTAGACTGCTAAAAATAGCACTGTGTAGACATGGGAGGCTCTGCTTGGACGTATAAAGGGCTGTGTAACATATAAAAGCATAAGGTTCAGGCATGTAGGGCATTCTACTCAAGCAGTGCCTCACCATCTGTAGTGGTATTTGTAACCAGGGTTGCTGGGTGTGCAGTGTCTGTACTATACATGCTACCATGAATGTTGTTCTCCCCGAGGAGACTGAAAGGTTAGGAAGTAATTTCCTTAGTAGCAGTGGTTTTCTCCCAAAGCTCCATAGGGACATTGGCACTCAGTTTTAAGTTACCATGTATGGTTTTTTTTCTCCTATGTAATGATATCTTTCCTTAATTTTTTTTTTTTTTTTTCAGATTTGAAACTTTTGATGTGAACAGCTTTGAACAGTTTTGCATCAATTATGCTAATGAAAAACTGCAACAACAATTTAACCTGGTATGTACATAATTTGGCGGCAGTTGTATGTGTCGATTGATGTCTTAAAATATTTGTGTAACATACAGTAAACAGAGATCTGAAGTATAAGTAAACCTCTTTTCTAAGTATTGCTGATCTTTATCTGACCTCTGTTTTCCAAATATCTATATTTTGTTCAGAAGTTATTAACATGCACTTTTCATCAGGTTGACTTTTTTTTATTAATAGCATGTCTTTAAACTGGAGCAAGAGGAGTATATGAAGGAAGACATCCCATGGACTCTAATAGACTTTTATGACAATCAACCAGTCATTGACCTTATTGAAGCTAAAATGGGCATTTTAGACCTGCTAGATGAAGAGTGCTTGGTAATTTTTAAATGGTTACTTATGAGTTTATATGAAAACATTTCTGTGGGTTGTGCTTCAGGCAGAATTTGTGGTTTAATCCATATTCTCATTTCTTTTAAATTAAGATGATGAGCAGCTTGCTGCTGCAGTGATTGTTCTCAGAATCTTTAGAAGTCTTCTAAAGTTGTAAAGGATCTATATTTTTTGTTTTAGTTTAAACCCGTTTTTTCTTTGATTAATTTTTTTGCTTACTTTGCATTTCCTTTTTATGCTTTGAAGCACTCCCTGACTGTGCCAGACCTACATATCTAATCTCTTTTCTTTCTACACACCCTTCTGCTCACTATGGATTATCCAAGCATCTCTTCTCACCATTCCTTTCCTTTTTTCCTTTGCCCATTTCTGACTATTTTTTCTTCAATCCTGTCATGTCCTCTAGAGACCCTTCTGCTAAAAGGCAAAGGATGATCTTATAGGTGAAAGACAGCCATAGGAAAAAGAATCCAAAGTGATTCTGTGTGACTTTGGCAAATTGCTTATCACCTGATTATCAGAATCCATGATAGAAAGTAATTGATCAATCCCAGGCTACAGCTAGACTACCGCTTTTTTTGGAAAAAGGTACGCAAATTGCACTCCACTCCGCAATTTGCATACCTTTTTCCAATTATTTTTTCAGAAGAGGCTTTTCCGAAATTTGACCCATCTACGCTGGGCCAAATTTTGAAAAAAACTCCTCTTTTGGAAGAGCCCTTTTTTCTCGTGAAATGAGGAAGACCGGGCATCTGAAAGAGCACATCTGATCTTCCACAAAAAATGTTGGAAGAGCAGACATGTTCCCTGGACATGGTGGAGTTTTTCCAGGATACCTCTGGCATCCTGGAAAAACTCCGTAGTCTAGACATAGCCCCAGTGATTCACCCAATATCATTATCTTGGGCTGATTGTCATAGATATCTTGGGCAGCTAAATTATGCCTCATTTGGAATTATGTTGCCACTTCCCTTTCACAATAGGGAGCAGCATTCATGGCCGGGAGGACTGCCTGTCCACAGAACTTTCTCAAATTATCTACCATGCTTGCTTTACAAAACCCCGTTTCTTCTTAAAATCGTTTCCTCGGGGAATTTCTGACTATTCTGAAAGAGATTAGAACTCAGATCCTGTTTATCATCACAGCACATTGTATATCTATTGCTTCAATAGCACTTAGTAGTAATAGTAGTAAGTAGCTTCCTCACTGTTAACATTCCAATAGTATTTTATATTTTGTCTTTTTATAGTTACCTCAGGGGACTGATGAAAATTGGCTCCAAAAGCTCTATAACAATTATATCAACAAGAACCCACTCTTTCAAAAGCCCAAAATGTCAAACACGTCTTTTATTATCCAGCACTTTGCTGATAAGGTAGGTGTACAGTTTACTGTATTATTTCATCTGTTTTCAACCAGCATAACATTCAGAAAGGGAAAAAATCTATTAAAATATAGATGGAACTGTACACATGACATCTTTATGAGCAGTATTCAATGTATGTTGTTATTATTTTAGTATATATTTATTGGCTGTGGACCCACAGCATGCTATATAGGTAGAAAGATAAAATTCTTGAACCAAAACGCCCACAATCACAAATTTTGTTAGCCTAAAACCAAAAAACCTTAGATCAGTTGCAGAAAAAGGATACAGCTTACTAGCAAAATAGTCAGGGTTGCCTCTGACACACAACCGGTTATCATCCGGTTTTATGAATATCTGTATCTTTATTTTATTTATATTGGAAACTTGGCACTTAGGGTGTGTCTTCACTGCACCTGTAGCTCGAAATAAGCTACACAATTTGAGCTACTCAAATTGCATAGCTTATTTTGAGTCAATTTCAAAATAGCTTATTTCATAATTTTGAAATAACCCATTATTCTGAAACATCCCTTACTCCTCGTAGAATGAGGTTTGTCAGAATAGCGAGTCTATTATATTTCAGAATGATGGGCTTGCTGTTAAGACTATTTTGGGATACCTCTGGCAGGTGATTTTTTTTTTTTTTGGCTTAACAAAAAATCCTCAGTTCCTCGGTCTTAAAAAGTTTAAGAAACACTGGCGTAGCTGTAATCCTACAGTTCAAGTCAGGGGAAATGAGTAACAGAAGGGAGTGGATAAATGAGAGGAGAGCATTAGAAGGAATGTCAAACCACAATATGCATGAAGAACATAAGAGAAAATGGTTTGCTGTCAAGGAGGTGTTCTTCTGCTAACTATCAAGAACACTGAACACAGCTGAATGTGGTAGCTGGGGCAGTATGTAGGGTTGCCAGGTATCCAGTATTGACCTGGACAGTACGGTATTTTCGGCTCCTGTTAGGTAAAAAATTTCAGAAAATACCAGACACCTAAAATGTCTGGTATTTTCTGGTTTTTTCCCCTGCCAGGAGGCGAAAATACTGAACACCTGGCAACCCTACGACACACTCAGCAACCAGGCCCAGCCCCTGGACCCCCCCC